TTGTACTTGTTGTAAAATGCTTGACCAACGGTGGAGTCAGTCTCGGCATCCTCGCGCTTTTCGTTGTACTTGTTGTAGAATGCCTGGCCAACAGCTGAGTCCGAGTCTCTAGCCTGGATTGAATCTGTGAATATCTTCATAAGTAATGCACAGGACCACAGCAAGGGAATTGAAATAAGAAGTAGTACATTCGACAGGCGCTGCCAGACTAAGGCTAGCGGCCAGAGCAGTAGTGAGAGCAATGAGCTTAAGATGCATCTTGTCAGGCTATCAGAATTATTCTGACGTAATGAAGAATTGAGGAAGTTGGGTTTGATGAAATTGAGGTTGACACTTGATGTTTTCTCAAATGACTGCTGGCTGCACATCTGCTTTTATATAGATCTGGGCTGCTTCGACTACCGGTATCAAAGGACTGGGGCTCACTGGGCTCACTGGGCTCACTGCTGGTCTGGAGCCAATGCAACTGTCCAAACCCCGCATCATCAAATGTTTGTCCCTGGTGGCCTGGGAATAAAACTGATACCAGCGACTAGGGCGGTGCGGACAAGTCTGTACAAGCCGCTATCGACATCCTGACATGAATTGCGAGATGAGATACCCCGCTTGCGAAATGAAAGATGTCGCCAGTTGGGGACTGACGCGAGCGTGTATGCAGGTCTCAGTCAGCGAGATGGGGTATAAGGGCCGAGCAGATCGAGTCTACTGGGATTGAACTTCAGGCAACCAATTCTTCAAGGTTGTGATTGGCGGTGCCATGAAAGGGCTAGTTCGCTAGGACTATGCCTGACGCATGCCTGTATGTCGATGTTTCATCCAACGTTTTTGTCCAGGTCTGATTTGACCGGGTTGTAGATAACACCGACCTGTATCTTTGCCTCGGACGAGGGTTGGCATAGACTAAGGATGGACTTTCGAAAGAAGGGTATGGTTACTTGGGGTCTCGAGCAGGGGTGGCATAACCCCCCATTCTTTTCTCTTGATTCGTTAAGTTGTCTTTTCTTTCTCTTCTAAAGACTCATTCAAAGCTGTCGCATTGTTCTGTTCTTAATTCATCCAACTACAAGCGGCATCATGTTTAACATGCGGCGTGGAAGTGATGCGCTGCAGCCCTATTTGAGCGAAGAAGAGCATGAGGATTCGATTGGCATCCGGGCATCAGAGGGCGATGCTTTCATTTCGGGAGAAAAACGACACAATTCGTTTCAAAATTCTTCGAGGCAATTTTGGGTGCGGTTGTTGACATATATCTTGTTGGCTGTAGCGTGGATCCTGTCGATTTTCTTTTCAATGTACATCGCAGGCCAGAGGGGACACTATTGCGAGGGCCTATCTGAAGTTGCTCCCACAGAGCTATGTGAGTCAGCGAGTCTACAGCTCTGTATTCATGATTAATGCTAATTACTCTCAGGGTCTGTGCAGCCTGCGATTGAAGTTGAGAAAGTGCGTTTCAGTGGCACGCTCGAGTTCGACAACAACAGTACTCTCATCTCTACATATTGGAACCCCAGTGCGCCAAAATACACTGGCGAGCCGAGTGAAGAGCTAGATGATCTCTGGAATGCTTTGATCCATCGTAAGTGAACAAGTGGAATCAATTGGCTCTTCAATAGAGCAGCTTATAGTCTCTGACTGAACGACAGCCGATGGGGTGGATCTTCGCGGAGAGGAAGCGAAGTCAATCTACGGAAAGACTTTTGAGAAACCGGGAGGCTGGTCGATTGTCAGTATAGATGTCTTCCATCAGCTACATTGTCTGGTGAGTGTGCACCTATTTGCCGTCTCTGCTAGATTGGGCAACATCTAATGGAAAGAACTTGTCAATTGTAGAACGTACTCCGTCAAGCCTTGCGCCCAGATTACTACACCAGACATGACCCAGAGCCCGCATATTCGATACATATCAGTAAGTTCATAGACTACAACGAAGACTTCACCAGGCTGACTTTCTCACCTAGACCACTGCCTTGATCATCTCCGTCAAGCACTGATGTGCCACGTTGACGTGACACCTATCCCCGTCTTGTGGGCCGAAAAGGAAGATCGTCCTCTGAATGACTTTCAGGTGGAGCACACATGTCGCAACTTTTGGAAGGTCAAGGATTGGGCTAGGGAGCGTAGTGCGCACAAGCACGAGTACAAAGATCCTCTGCCTCACTAGCCTAGCGCAGCCGAGTGAGCATGCATATTTTAGTTCATGTAGCGTGTTAGGCTAGCCACGGACAAGAAATGGTTCCCGAGGCCCTGGAGATTATGCGAGTTGAATGCTACCTAGAATTTGGATATGATTCCTATCGTTGCCAACGGTTTAGCGCTTATGCCAAACGATCCCAGAAGCCTTTACCTAAGTGCTTTAGCAACGTTACATCAAATCCCTGCACGTACAAACCCCTGTATATGGGTCGACTTGAACGTAATAAAATTACACGCCAAGCCTAAGCTTGTATGCCATGTAGAATATCACATTTTGGGACGCCTTAGCGGAGTACGCGCAAATGGCCGACTCCTCCGCATCAGCAGAAGCATGATGCGTCTTTCCCCCTCACTTATGCAACATGTCTCATTCCAGCACTGAAAAAGGGATTAATCTTAGCTCACTCGGGGATTAGTGTTTGCCAATTGCGTCGGCAGCCAGGCTATCTGAGTAAAACACCCCCAGATCCGAGGCCGTTGGCAAACACGTCTTTTACGCTCTCAGGCCACACTCCCTCTACCCACCAGCACGAATATCTTTGCTCAATCTTAGACTCAAGCCGCTCAGGTGTGCAAGCATGGTGAACCTCTTTCAGGATATTACGTTGTGGTTGCACTCTCCCCGCCCATTATGGGCCCGCATACCGACCTCGGATGATGAGAGCGAGGCAGAGAGCGGAAAAGCCCGAACACACAACGTCCTCAAGCGCCAATCGATCTGGGAGTATGTGCTCTACCGCTGGCCTTGGATTCTATCTACCTTGTTCTTCGCATGTCTCGCTGGGGTCTTATACACTGCGTCTCTATCGGGCAATCGACGAGCCTGTGCACTAAATTGCAGATGGCGAAAGACAGACTTGGGTTGGTGATGCTCAATACAATTGCGACCACAGATGTGTGCCTTTGGACTAATCATGCAATTTATCTATAGCACCGGCATCGGAGCATTTGAAGGAGCAGGAAATGAGATTCAGTGGAGCCCTCGCATACGATGAAAGTGGGAAGTTGGTAATTGAGTCTACTCCGGGAGAAAAGAAATGGGTTGGGAATCCTACGCCCGAGATGGACGCTCTCTGGGACCGAGTGGAATCAGGTAAGAATTCAGTTGAATTATCTCATCTCACCCATATCTGACCTGCTCAACTGTAAGGATCGATTGTCCTTCTCGAGGGGTCAGAATCCGATACAGTGAGGGATAAAACCCTGCTGTTCGACGGTTACTGGCTTACGGGCCTTGATGTGATTCATCAAATGCATTGCCTGGTGCGATCGATTCTGCCAACGGGATACCCTAACAAAAGGTTAACTTCTTGATTCCAATGCAGAACAAGATCCGGAAAGCCTTATACCCCGAATACTATCAACCCGAGCAGTCAGCATCTACCGAAATGCTGCATGTTGGTAAGCGTGAGCATCCCGTGCGTACTTGAACCCTGAATAATTGATTATTTTAGAACACTGTCTCGACTACATTCGGCAAGCCGTCATGTGCAACTCCGACATAACCCCAGTCCCACTCACCTGGTACCAAAGCGCTCATACATTTGGTCCCGATTTTCGCACGACGCATACGTGTCGTGACTTTGAGGCATTACTGCAATGGTCTTTGAAGAGGACTTCAAAAGCATTGAAGGGGAAAGGTACTGGGGTGGAACATGCCAAGGACCCTTCACTGAAGATGCCGGGGAGTCTACAGGGGTCAGATGGGTTGAGTCATGGGGACCATCATGGACATTGAAATGAAATTACGAATTTCTCTGAAATTGAACTCCTGCGCGTTATGCGGACTTTTCGTAAACTAGTCACTGTCCCTCACCTCTTCCAGGGGAGGGGTCCGAACAAACAATAGGCCTATTAGGCACAAGACGAAGGACCCTGCCAGACCAAAATAGGGCAACCCAAGTGACATACCTCCGAGCCTCATCCCGGTCTCAAACAACCAGGCAAGGGCAGGCCCTGCGAATAGCGATCCTGTTGTTTCAGCTATGCCAATTACCGTGTTTAGTTTAGACGTGTCCTGTGGTGCCACATAGGTAGTTGCAAGTGAGCGACACAGCGGGGCCAGACCCGACCCTAAACTATGCACCGCTAGCCCAGCCATTACCACCCATATCTGCGGCGCCGCCATGCAAAGCGCCCCGACAGCGGCGAATACAACCGATGCACGTGCGAGTATCAAATCCTTGACGGCTGGATTGCGATATCGCAAAAGCAGCTTGGAGAGGAGCGGTAGTATAAAGAGCAGGACGGCCATGTGAATGACCCCACGGAGCGTCAGTAGGTAGCCCGTTTCGGCGAGTGGCCAGTCGAAGCGCTTGCTTATGTACTGGGCCATGAACTGAGAAGTGCCCAGGATCCCGGGCACGATCGTGAGAAATGTGGACAAGACGAGGGCCATAGAATAAGACTTGAGCGATTCGAGGGAAGCGATGAGGAGTTGAAGGGACTGAGATAAGTGGAACTTGAGAGTGTCGGGCTGTGATTCTTCCGGATCGAAATTATCATCGGGGGTGTTAGAGTCCGGTATCGATATAGACAGAGTTTCGGGTACGAAGAACAGCGGAATCAAAGAGATCAAGTTGACGAAGAAACTGGCTAAGGCCGCAATCCAAGGAGAAAAAGTTTCAATGAGCTCGGAGGAAAGCGCTGGGCCAAGACAGGCACCCACTAGGCTGGAGAATGCCATCAGGAAGAAGGCGGAAGCTCTTATCTATGTGTTAGTTATCTCATAATTCAGTGAACTCAGTTCAGTGTCCATCAGAGGGTACCTGTCTGATTGAGCCACCAAATCCGACGCGATCGAGTACAGATTAGCGAGGAGCACTGTGTTTCCACCCCCAACTACCGTAAACAACGGACCAGCCAGGATTGCCTGAACCTGAACTATCTTTGGAAACGCAATAACAACTAATTCCCAGGCCAGGGCAAGTGAGGTTCCAATCACCGATAGAAAAATGACCGGTTTTCGACCAACTCTGTGGAGAAGTGAGTTCTTCCAAGTCCCTTACAACCATATTCGAAGAAATCGCTCTCACCTGTCGGCCAGGACACCAAATGGAAATGCAACAAAAAGTCCTCAGCAACGAGTCAGCTCCGAAACCTTCACGCAAATGTCGATAATAAGGGCTTTATATGTACCGACAACGGCCTCCACGAGGGAGAGGTTGCCATTGAGATAAGCCAACCTTGACTGAATCTCGTCAGTCTTGCAGTGCCGCTCAATCGGAGCGCCTTGCTGAACATATCGGCTGCAGATGTTTTCTTCGATGAGTTGCGTTAGAGGTACATTGAGAATGGACCCCGCAGCGGACAGGCAGAAGACGACAGTAGACAGCCAGTAGATTGATGACCACCTCGACGCCGCTTTCTGCTGTCCACCAAGTAGTGGAGAGGCCTCTTCAAGCATCGTTACCGGTCGATTGGGGGAGGCCACTGGGTGCGAGAAGAGAATATTGGCGAGGCAGGCGATCTGGGGGTGTAACCGTGATCGTACACCCTTGTCAAGTTGGGCGCTAGGCCAATATTGGAACATTAAAATTCTGATTCCTGATTGGAAGTTTTACCCTTGCTTATCACTTGCTCCATTTGCTTTGGAACGCCTCAGTTCTTATTTTATATTCACATAGAACGGAGTAGAATAGTTAAAGACCACTGGTGTTGGTGGGGAATAACCACTACGGCGGACTGAATATTACTTGCCTTCACACTACTAGACCAGCTACACGCACCACCTTACTAGATGACATGCCTGGTAGTAGTAGTACAAGTGTACAACTGCGCAGGTGACATTTATGGCTGCTATCTAGGAGGGAGAATATAGTCCCCCCCAGCGAAGGCCCTGCACCCTCAATGCGGCGCTGCGGTCAGGTAACCTTTTTATGAAGATGAAGCTCAGACAAGTCCATTCATTATAGCTTATTGTCAACCATCAAACTACCAAGCAAAAAAGGTGTCTAGACTTCCATTCTAGCATAGTAGGGAAAATAGTGCATATTCTGGTTGACACACGTAGAGTAAGAAGTACGGTTCCTATTCAGGACCAATTAGATTGCTTATCCAACTTCTGGGGTTTCTCCCCAATAGCTACTGTTGTGCTTGTCAGACTTAGTATTCGTGGCATTCTTACTTCTTGGATTCCAGCCACAGTGCCGTACTGATAGACTTGACCCACTGCGTCGGTTTCATCCTGTTACTCCTGATTGGAAAGAGCGCTAGGACCCAGCTGCGTCGTCACACATACTACCACGGACAGAAGTACAGTGGATCTGCGTTATATGTCCTCCCCGGACCATGATGACGATCACAAGATAGCCTCCGTCGGTGATGATAATATCTCCAGTGACCTTAACCTTGGCTTCTGCTACATAAGCTCACAGCCATTAGAAGCGAGTTCCAGCTTTCATACATTTAGTATTATTAGCGTCCAGTAGATGATATAGTGTCAATGCATCCCAACGGCTTACTAGACGACCAAGTTACGGTCGCATATGGATAGATAACTGGACCAATGTGTCTGAAGCCTTGATAATTTGGCCAGGGTAACAAGGTCGATTGGGAACCGCATTGCCCTATCATTAACTTGTTTTACACCACATACCTAGTAAATAACTACATTGCCACCAACCAAGGGCTTACAGAGTGCAGTTTGCGTACAATTTGCCTCATCTGCTATCATTATTCATGCGCATTGAGTTCAGGTCGACCAGGACAAGGTCGGATGTTCACGGCGTGAACCCAGCCTGTCGGAGTCATCCCCTGATTAAGGTTGATGATCTCCACCGTCCCGCTAAGCTTAATCTCCCTTCCATCCCATCCTGTGTGGGGCGGCGCAGCTGCTTGCGACGACTTACGAGGAAGAGTAAGGGCAAATACTACTAAACAGTTACATGATCACTACTGAATGTTTTGTACTATGCATTAGTACTAGTTTATAAATTAAATACATTGCGATTCAGCGAACCAAGGATATGAGACTCCTGCGCGTTACAGCTGCCAACGGCTCCACGTAGGTAGTATTGAACTTGTCAAAGTTACATATTGATAAACCACATGGATTGTGAGATAGACAGGGACACAGATAATATTCCTGTCTGTCACTGTCTGTCTCAGAGATGTCAAATTTTCATAATTTTTCGAAGGCTCGTTGAGAGGCCACGGACTGAACGCTGCCGTTCAAATCTCATATAGAGACAATTTTTATCTGTCTATTCCTAGATATGCCTCCTGTCTGACCCTTCCGCGTATCGAACTGAACCTTTGGTTGCTGATAAGCGGGAGTGCCCACCGGTCAGGTACGGAGTCCAGAGTTTAATTCTAGTATCCATACTCTATAGTACCATAGGTACTAAGTACTCGGTATCCTCCTATATGATGGTATCAATTCTAGCATCCATACTAAGTATTTGATACCCTCCTATATGACAATACTGATTCAATATCCGCACTAATATTGATAAACCCAGCTAGAGATTGATCTAAAGACAAGAACTTGTAATCTCCACGTGTATTTTGCTCACTACGACTTAATATATAACCAGTAGAGAGAAATATGGAGGGCAGTCTAAAGATACTTGTCTTCTTTCCCAGGTTGGACGGTAGGAGCCATAGCTGAGAGGATAGCCGTACTGGAGATAATGTCTGATCAATGGCAGGGAAAGACTACTCCACGCAGAGGGAGAATCTGGATCGCCCAAGCCGGAGGGCGCGTATGCCGGTTGCCGTGCTGCCGCCTGCCACTAGGACGAACTCCCTTTCCTTTCGCTTCGGGGGGATTCTCATTGACATTGTCCTTGTCATTGGGCATGGTAGAAGGACGATCATGCAGCTGCTCTAGGGATGCAGGCACGCACAGTTCCTGAAGAGAGCCAGCGTAGCGGTGGCGAGTTTGGTCCCCAGCGACGCGGCCTCCTCGAGACTCATATGCTAGGGAACCTTGAGCAGAAAATCCGCGTGCGGGCCTACGTTCCCTTCGCAGCTTATTCATGCCGTGGACCATGCCTGCCACCCTGCCGCCGAGGGCGACGACCGTGCCGGCGAAGTCGTGGCCGAGGATGGCGCCGGCAGCTGGGCTGTAGCCGAGCATCTTCGCGTCGACGGGGTTGATGGCAACCGCGGCTGTCTTTACGATGACTGTGTCGGGGGATAGTTGGTGGATGGGTTTGTCCTGCTGAATTGCGAGTTTTCCTGGCCCCTGGGCCATGACGGCTGTTTGCCGCTCGGGTAGTGAACGTGTTGGACAGATTGACAGCATTGCGGGTGGAATGTAGCATACAGCAGAAAGCGAGGCTCTGTATTAATTTTGACTCGCATTTGCTCTTCTTAGATGTCTTTCAGCAGACATGCCAGTTGCCAGTTGCCGGTGTATGTTGGTGCAGGAGATAGATCTGCTGTTCGCTGGAGAATCATGGGTCATCTCGACCGCGGACGTTAGCCCGTCGCATATAACCACGAGAGGAGGAACCGGGTGAGTTCATGAATTGAGTCCCTTCTGCTGAAGTGAGCAAAGGAATTCAGTCAGATGTCTAAATTGAATCGCAATGCTTTCAATCAGGAAGGCTGCTCCCTAGAAACATTAGAAGCACCTTGGGGGGTTTCAGCCGTCCAGAATATGTACTCTTCAGCTCACAAAAAGGACACTTACTCAGCTGGCAGCTTCAGTGGGTTACATCCTAGGTTCTGATTGAATAAAAGGAATATCCCTTAATAATTGGTACTATGTATTTTGTTCCATTATTTTTTAAGATTAATTACAGACAATAGGGTAATAATAAGTTTTATACATAGGAGTATGTGGAGGGGATTATCCAAAGGAATCACCCACAAAATGGTTGCTGGACTTGATATGTGATAGAAGGAAAATAGTAAGATATAGATCAGAAATCAAATAATAGAAGAAAAGAAAGATAATAGTAAACGAAAATTATATCGATAATACTAGCTTGAGTATAGTTGAGCAGAGAAGAAGCCCTGTTTTCCACGCCCCATCATCATATGCACTGATTGTGCAACAGACTCTATATATAAAGTCCAATTTCTTGCTAACTTTTACCACATATCAAGTCCAGCAACCAGTTTGTGGGTGATTGTCACCGTCTGCCAGGAGTCAGCCCTCACCATGTGACATGCGGTACCTATGACGTAGAGAAGTGTACAAAGTACTAAACACAACATGTCCGCACCAAGTCGCGACAGCATCACTCCAAACCCTATCAATACAGACCATTATACCCGCATCATGGAAAGCAGCGGCCTGCGCGGTCTTACACGACGAGGCCTGCCCGAAAGCCTAAAAACCCACGCTCAGACGGCACAGGATGCTATCTCAAGCATGATGGGGATCCGCCAGACTCTGCTCTCGGCGGTCCTCTTCGACGTACCTCCTGTCTGCTGGTCATTAGTGAGCGAGCTGGTTGCTGATTACCACACGGTAGCATACCCTACCCTCCTTAGTAACGAGCGGGGCATCTGACAGGGTTACCAGGCGACTGGCTTACCCGAGCGTCCTCATCGCGATGCATACATTATCGTTTTGCTTCCCGGAGAATCGACGATTGGGAAACAGCATGATCTGTTACTTCTTCCTCTGTCGCGGGCTGGGAATCCGGTAATCAGCGTAGTGGATGTTGAGGGGAAGGTCTTGGAGATGGACTGGGAGGCCCAGGATTACTTCCGAATAAATGAAATGTGTAGATTCCGCATCTCGGAACATGGGAGGGTCAGTGCCTTGTGTGTGGTGTTTCCTAGGGCCTAGGTAGTCTATGAGCTGTGTTTGATGAGGAGCGTCAGTGACAATGTAATGATAGGGGCGATATACTGGATGGATATCGGCCATTCCGCGACTCGGGTCAAGCTTTTATGCTCAAAGCGGGAGATAGGTAGGCTCGCCTGATGCAAGAGATGGCTCTATGGAACTGGCTTCGTCTCTTTTGGTGGCCTTTGCCCCTGCTGCGGGTAGTCGGGGCTCGATTGCATCGAGAAGTCACCTCTTGGCAGTCCGCAAAGTAGAAGAATACATAATGGGATACTCTTCATGTGGTAATAGCGCGCTCGCCTGAGGAAGGAAACCAAGGACAACGATAGCCGGTCTAGACGTCCTGTGGAGGTGCATTGACACCATAGTCCAGTGCTTCAATCGTTGAAAGGCCTATTGATAGTTGTCCCGTATTCATCAGTCTGATTAGCCTCGTTAAAGTTAGATTATGACTTCTCCTTCAGATTATGGCAATTGTCGAAAAATGATCATTGTCTACACAGTAGCAAAGGCTGACTAAAGACAAAAGCAAGACTAGTTGCAATAGGACGCTAGGATTTAATATTGAAGATAAAAAGGGCACGAGGGAAAGCTACCAAGTACGCCGAGCTTGTGGTAATATGTTGTGTCATGCAAGGAGTCCTGGATTTTGTACGCCAACGTGTCCGAGTTCAAACAATGGAGAAAGACAAAAGCAACCAAAGACAATCAGGCAAGTGGGCTTATATAATTACGACCAAATGGTACATCTATTGGTATTGTGCAGGCAAGTATTATTGAAAGTAGACGCAAGCTAAGAAGACTATATTCAGCCACTCAATAGTCGATGCACCAGACCAGACAAAACAGGAAAGGGGAATCAATCAAACATTACACAACGTCCAGTACGCCTCTATATACAGCAACCGAGAAAGGCGTATGAACAAACGTCTCGGCGCCAATGCTGAGTCGAAAAATGAGTTAATAACAGACAAGGTTCTAGATCCTGTTCCTCGGCTTTGTACACCGCAAGGGCTGTCGCCTTGCTTGCGCTCGCTTTCTACTCTTCTTTCAGCATTACTTCAACTCTCGCGACCCTTCTCTCCTCCCCATGAAATGCGTGTGCGGTGTCCGCTACGACCCGAGAGTTGATCCGGCGACCCGGATGGAAGTCCGCTTACAACTCCAGCATCGTCTCTTCGCGGAGAAGCCCGAGAACCATCCGCGAACTGAACTCTTCCTCGCACTTGGCGGAATTCACCATTGTCTTCGCTGTCTGTGTCTTCGACTGCGGCCCCCGGGTCATCAGAGTCCGAGTCGCTGTGCAATTCTCCCAGGGCCGCCAGACGACGACGACGCTCTGCAGGTGTTTCACCTGTGTCGTCCAAGTCAGCTTCCTGCGGGGGACGCGCAAGACCGGCTGCTTCTCGGAGGCGAGCTGGTGGGATACGCGCGGTACCATCGTCTTCAGAATCTCTTCTCGAACGCGGACGAGGCCTGGAAGGCGGGTCGGACGGCTCCAGGTGACTGCGTCGCTCTTGTGCAGCCGAGCCACGGGTCACCCTGGCCAGCGAAGCAGCGACGTCGGTCCCGGGAATGTCCTGTTCCGCTTCGTCTTCGGTGGTCTCACTGTCAGACTCGAACTGGTCGATACCACGAGATTCTACCTGGGTCCCAGGCGATACCGACACTTCAACAGGTTGTGCTGGGAGAGATTCTCGCCGCTCGGCCTCGTCCCGAGCCACATTCTTCACACGCTCGGGAACGTCAGTCTCCTCGACCAACTGGCGACGAGCCTTAGGGTCCAGATTCTTTATCTGCTCGGCGAACTCGTGTTTCGTCATGCGGCGACCCTTGTGGCCGACTCCTCGCTTGCCAACATCGTCGTCGTTGGCGAGGGTGAACCGCAGTCCATCATCCGCTAGCCACTCGTCCTCGGCCGCCTTTCTGCTCTGTGCAGCTTGCGAGGTCTCCGCCTCGCCATCTCTGCCAAACCAGGTCCCCATTCGTCCCAAGCCGCGAATGCCAGGGGCTCCAGTTTCGGGCTTGCCAGTGGCAGGAATCGAGTACTTCTTAATGACTTCGCCGTCCTCATCTTCGACAATAATGGTGTTGCCGAATTGATATGCGTGAGCCGACCGAGCTTTGCCCTTGGCCTGCTTGCCAGATTCTTCGGTCGATTTCTTCACCGCAGCTTTCTTTGCCTCCTTGCTTTCCGCTTGCTCGCCGCGGCCTTTGCCCCAACCGACCCATTTGCCGAACTGCTTGCGAGCTTTTCCTAACGGGGGCCCGGCGGCAGCTTCCACTGCATGTTGGATTTCTTCTCCTTCGTTCTTCTCATGTGGCTGGCTTCGGGATTTGGACAGTTCGCCCGACTTATCCTTCTGCAACCGCATCTTTTGTTCTTCAATGTGCTGCTGCCGTTCCTCGGGTGATTTATGACTAATGTCTTCTGTCTTCAGGACATTGCCTTCTTCGTCTTCGATGACCATCATATGGCCTTCCAGGTACACCTCTAAGACAGGTTCTCGGCCAAACCGATCACGCTCATGGCTCGGTGGAGATCCTCCCCGTTCAATCTTCTCCCGCTCCTCGGCTTCCTCCTTTGATTTCTCAGTCTCCTCACCAGCCTCGGCCGACCTTTGAGGCATAATGGCGGACTGGCTGATCGGACCTCCAGCTCCATCATCCCGCCTACGACGTCTTCGAGGTTTGCGACTAGGAGGTCGACCGGTTGGTGTCTCCGATTCTTCCTCACGAACTCGTCGCAAAAAGTTACCAGGAACGCCAATAGGCGGAAGAGTTCCAGGAGGGAATTCCGGCTCAGTGGACGAATCACCCAATTCGTCTGCGTCGGTCTTGCGGAATGACATTGACCCTTTGGCCAACGACTGTACGCGAGGCAGCCGGTTCATCCAAGAAGGACCCTCTTCATTGGCCGTCGTGTACGACAGCGTGATGGTCAAGGTATTAATACGCTTTCCAAGGGTAAAGACGGCAATCGACGAGCCGTGCACCAAAATGGATGAGATGACCATAAAGGTGGTGATAGGCCAGATCAGCTGCACAATATAGTAGTCGGGGGACCCGGGTTTGGGCAGTTGCGACTCAGCCAACGGCTGAGTGCTATCAGTTTCGAGTTCAGCCCTGGTTAGAATTGCAGCGAAGATGGCACCGACACCGATGGGTCCGAAATGGCCGGCGAAAAGAGCCTCGCGCCATGTTTTCACGTCCGGTATGATTGGTTTCAATATCATCATGATCGGAATCCGGCGGAAGAAGATGACCAGAATCGCGATAACGACGAGCCTCCAGGGCACGAGGCCGATATCCGGGTTGTTGTAGTCCTCCCAGGGGATAATAGACCCGAAATAGACAAAGTACGCCAGATTGAGAAGCAAGTCAATGACGTTGGATACGTGAGACTCTTCGGTCTTTTCAGTGAACCAGCCATCGTTGCTGAAGCCAAC